GCCTTCTCATTTTTTTTTTTTCTTTCTTTCTTTTTCTTATTCTGTGGCTCTATTATTTATATATCTAGCCTTCTCATTTTTTTTTTTTTTCTTTTCTTATTCTGTGGCTCTATTATTTATATATCTAGCCTTCTCATTTTTTTTTTCTTTCTTTCTTATTCTGTGGCTCTATTATTTATATATCTAGCCTTCTCATTTTTTTTTTTCTTTCTTTTTTTTATTCTGTGGCTCTATTATTTATATATTTAGCCTTCTCATTTTTTTTTCTTTCTTTCTTTCTTATTCTGTGGCTCTATTATTTATATATCTAGCCTTCTCATTTTTTTTCTTTGTTTATTTTTTTTATTCTGTGGCTCTATTATTTATATATCTAGCCTTCTCATTTTTCTTTCTTTCTTTCTTATTCTGTGGCTCTATTATTTATATATCTAGCCTTCTCATTTTTTTTTTTTTTGTTTCTTTTTTTTCTGTGGCTCTATTATTTATATATCTAGCCTTCTCATTTTTTTTTCTTTTTTCTTTTTTCTTATTCTGTGGCTCTATTATTTATATATCTAGCCTTCTTTTTTTTTTTTTTTTTTTTCTTATTCTGTGGCTCTATTATTTATATATCTGGCCTTCTTTTTTTTTTTTCTTTGTTTATTTTTTTCTTTCTTTTTTCTTTTTTCTTTTTCTTTCTTATTCTGTGGCTCTATTATTTATATATCTAGCCTTCTCATTTTTTTCTTTCTTTCTTTCTTATTCTGTGGCTCTATTATTTATATATCTAGCCTTCTCATTTTTTCTTTCTTTCTTATTCTGTGGCTCTATTATTTATATGTCCAGCCTTCTAATTTTTTTCTTTGTTTATTTTTTTCTTATTCTGTGGCTCTATTATTTATTTATCTAGCCTTCTCATTTTTTCTTTCTTTCTTTCTTATTCTGTGGCTCTATTATTTATATGTCCAGCCTTCTAATTTTTTTCTTTCTTTCTTTTTTTCTTATTCTGTGGCTCTATTATTTATTTATCTAGCCTTCTCATTTTTTCTTTCTTTCTTTCTTATTCTGTGGCTCTATTATTTATATATCTAGCCTTCTCATTTTTTTTTCTTTCTTTCTTATTCTGTGGCTCTATTATTTATATATCTAGCCTTCTCATTTTTTTCTTTCTTTCTTATTCTGTGGCTCTATTATTTATATATCTAGCCTTCTCATTTTTTCTTTCTTTCTTATTCTGTGGCTCTATTATTTATATGTCCAGCCTTCTAATTTTTTTCTTTCTTTCTTTCTTTCTTATTCTGTGGGTCTGTTATTTGTCGTACACTTTTTATATTTCTTGCCTTCTTATTCTTTCTTTTTTTCTTATTTTCTGTATCTATTATGTATCTTATCTTTTTCTTTTTACTGCACTTTTATTATTTCTTTCCTTCTTTCTTATTCGGTGTATATATTATTTATCTTACTCTCTCTCTCTTTCTTGCCCTCTTATTTTTTCTTTCTTTCTTTCGTACTTATTCTTTGGCTCTATTACTAATCTTAATCATTTTCTAGTTATTGCCTTCTTATTCTTTCTTTTTTTTCTTTCTTATTGTCTGTGTCTTTTATTTATCTTACTCTTTTTCTATTTATTGCCCTCTCATTCATCTTTCTTTCTTTCTTTCTTATTCTTTTTTTTTTTCTTATCCTACACTTTTTCTATTTATTGCCCTCATATTCTTTCTTTGTTTCTTTCTTTGTTATTCTCTGTCACTTTTTTTATCTTACTCTTTTTCTTTTTCTTGCCCTCATATTTGTTTGTCCATTCTTTCTTATTCCCTATGTCTTATTATTCATCTTACACTTTTTCTATTTCCCGCCCTTTTATTCTTTCCTTTTTTCTTTCTTCCATTCTCATTCTCCATATCTTTTATTTATCTTACTCTTCTTCTATTTGTTGCCCTCTCATTCTTTCTTATTCTCAGTGTTTATTATTTATCTTACACTTTTTCTTTCTTTCTTTCTTTCTTTCTTTCTTTCTTTCTTTCTTATTGTTTGTCTTTTATTTATTTTACTCTTTTTCTAATTATTTTCTTATTATTCTTTCTTTCATAATTTCTGCATATTTCATTTATCTTATATTTTTTATTTCTTGCCTCCTTTCTTTCTTTCTTTCTTTCTTCTGTGGGTCTATTATTTATCTCTTTTTCTATTTATTGCCCTCTTACTCTTTCTTTCTTTCTTATTCTGTGTATTTATTATTTATCTTACTATTGTTCTATTTATTTCTCTCTTATTCTTTCTTTATTATTCTCTGTGTCTTTTATTTATCTTACTCTTTTTTTATTTATTGCCCACTTATTCTTTCTGTCTTTCTTTCTCATTCTCTGTGTCTTTTATTTATCTTGCACTTTTTTGTATTTCTTGCCCTCTTATTCTTTCTTTCTTTTTTTTCTTTCTTTCTTATTCCATGGGTGTATTATTCATCATACTCTTTTTCTCTTTATTTCTCTCTTATTCTTTTTTTCTTTCTTTCTTATTCTCTGTTCCTATTATTTATCTTACACTTTTTCTTTTCTTGCCCTCTTATTCTTTCTTTCTTTCTTTCTTATTTTGTAGGTCTATCATTTATTGATGTAATGGAATAACTTGTCACTCCCATGAGTGACTTCACTATAGGTAGTAACTACCTATAAGTATCTGTAAGTCAACGGACTGGGATCTGTTACTCAGCTCTTAGCTGTTGTTGAACTCTCTACCTTTTGGTAGAAAGGAACCTTGATGAGGCTATGCCAAAGGGCAGAGTCTCATCCGGGGAGGTAGACATACTTGAATGTGTTTATGCGGTGTTTACAGGGAATTTTCAGCCAAGCCTATGGTCTCGTATTGCCCTACAATAAATTCAGCCATTTGCCACATCCTACCCCATGGGGAGGTTGGTAAATATTAGTAGCTGGTATCTGTTGAGTACAACTCAGACTTACACAAGAACTACTGACCTCCCAATAGTAGCACTTACTACTGGATTGACTTGTGAGAACCCTGTGCATGACTGTTACCTTTATTCTTATTGTACTGATTTTTTACAATAAACCTTTATTTATTTTATCCACCTTGTTTTTCAAGTATATATTCCTATTAGCATGGAATATAACATTTATATTCCTCTTTTTCTAGTTGTTGACCTCTTATTCTTTCTTTGTTTCCTTCTTGTTCTGTGTGTCTATTATCTGTATTACTCTTTTTCTATTTATTGCTCATGCATTGTCTCTTTCTTTCTTATTCTCTGCATCTATTATTTATCTTACACTTTTTGAATTTCTTGCCCCTTTATACTTTCTTTCTTTCTTTCACTAACAAAATCAAATAGCATTTCAAAATCATAGCTGGCCATTATTTGTCTGCCATTATGTAATATGTAACATGTGACGGATAAACAAGCAAAGTGACATGTTTATTTTATGATAGTCCTCTTTGTTTTTTTCTTTTATATTTAGATACGTTTTTGTGCTTAACTTCATGCTAAATTTTTGACATTATCTGTTGTGTGAAAAATTATAACCAGTTCTTCTACTTACTTCCAAAGTTACCTCTGTATTAGCTTTTAATTATATTGTCTACACATGAATCACTATCTATAAAAGGTAGGATGTGTGTGTGTGTGTGTGTAACGAATGCACCAAATTAATTACATTAATTTTCCAACTCCCATCGATAGTGAAAATAATGGATTTTTTCATGCTTCTATGGCAGTTTTCATGTAGTCTGCGGCCATTTTCTACTGGCCAGAGTGAGAGCCAATAGCTAGCTGCCACGAATAGGCAGGAAGATTCTATTGGCCAGCATGAGAGCCAACAGCTGACTGACATGAATGTTAACTAGCATGCTAGCATGCAAAAAAATTGATAGCTGCATTCGTCACAAGTGGAAAAAATTTAAATCTGCATGGCACTTTACTCCAATTGGCTCATTCTCTTGCTTAAACTCAATGTTGATTCTGATTCCACAGAAATGGGTTGGGTGTGAAAAAGTATTTGTTGTTAACATTCTTTTTTCATTCAGTTTTTCCAGTTACGAGTCCTTTTTTAAAGCTGATCGTTTTGTGTTCATTTTGTTTTGTTCTTTTTTCGTAACAGATTTAATGTTTAGTATAGTGCTTAGAAAAAATTTGCAGTGTTAGATAGGCAAGAAGTAAGGCATGTAGCAACATCAGCATGGCAAAGGGCACTCCTTTAAAGGCAAGGAAGGGCAAAAATATTTTAAGTCAAGTGATAGCGATTGCTGTATGAGTTGTACGATTTTTGGATCAAGCACGGGCAACGCCGGGCCATGCTGCTAGTAAGCAATAAATATTAATTCCCATCAAGGTTGAAATGAACAACATTGCTTAACTTCAGTGATTATACAGAAACCGATGTTTCAACGTGATGTAGCCATAAGCCATATTGGCTTTGTGAATTTGTGGACCCAAGCATGAAATATGTACTCTTACGAACTTTCATGGTTCACTGCCTGACCTGAAATAGGCTAATCCTTTGGTATTTTCTTATTTCTGCTGCATTGTTAAAAAAAGAGATTTTTGCTTGAAATACATTGAATGGAAACACTGAACATAGATAAATTCATGTGAACGCCAAACTAAAAAGCATGATTAGGTCACTAAAACTACTTGCAAGGGATATTCATGGTTCTGTCCAAAATTCTTATTCACTTATTCTATTGTCCAAAACAACCTTTCACTAAATTCAATAGAAATCTATAAGATTGATTAATTCATTTCTTTTATGGCTTACCAGTCATTTGCAGGTTATTTAAAGCCAGAAAATATTTTTAGATTGTAAGAATTTGTTTTTCTTTTTGGAGATAATAATGATACAGCTAACTCTTACTAATTAACCCATAGCTTGGAAGAGAATAGGTGGATTAATACTTTTTCCAAGGATTTTTGCACATAAGTAAATATAATGAACCTAACAGGAATTGGAACTTTGCTCCCTGATTAACAATTCCAAGCTATTATGTCTTACATCAACCATACATCCAAGCTTGCAACACTTGGTTTTCCCAAGTGGTCACCCATCTAGGTACTGACCAGGCTCGGCATTGCTTAACTTTGGTGATCGTATGGGAACCAGTGGCTGTAAGGAAAATCTACTAACAGGTTCATTGATGTATTACCAGATGATTATATGATTTAATCCAATCATTCCTGTCAAACTGAAATGAAGATTGTCCTAAACAGGTTATCCTCCAATTTCTTTCATTTAAATGTTGTTGTTCCTCAAGGCTCTATCTTGCGTCCTACACTATTTGTGATCTTCATCAATGATCTTCCAGATGTCATCAGTTCTTAAGTAGGCATCAACGCAGACAACACTATCATTTACTCCTGTCCCAATAGTAAATCCAACATTGCTGACAAAGTTAACCTGGCTATTGGTCTTGAAAAGACATCCAATCTGTGGTTGACTAGGACAGGAAATGACTTGTAAATTCATCCAAAATGAACCTGCTCTCATTTACCCACCATAAAGAAACCTCCCTGCCTCCTATCAACATGGCTGGTACTCAAATTCAAGAGAGCATTTCTCTGCGCCTTCTTGGTCTCAAGTTCTCCACTGACCTGACCTACATTCAATCAATAGCTACATCTACCGCAAAGAAACTTGGTTGTCTGTGTTGCACCAGAAGGTTTTCTTTTTTGAGTTCCTCCTTCAAATCTACAAATCTACCATTCATCCTTGCATTGAATACTGTTGTCATATATGATCTGGTGCCCCCACTGTTCATCTTGAGGTTCTCGACAAATTCTAAAGACAGATATGCAATGTGATAGGTCCTGAACTGGCATCTCAACTCCATTCACTTTCTCACAGATGTGATGTAGCTTCCCTCTGTCTTTTCACTGCTCTGATAAGCTATTTTCACTAGTGCCCCAACTGCATGAATTTAAATGTGCTACTTGATTGGCATCTTGGTCTCACCCTTTTACTGTCGAAACAGTGAAATGTAACCACCTCCTACTCCAACAGCTTCTTCTCTCACACTTCCTGACAGTGGAACTCCCTTCCTCTTACTTTCTTCCTGATAACTATAATCTTCAAAAATTTAAATGTAATGTCAATCGACATCTTTTGATGCCTTGATCTTCATCCCCATCCTTCTAATTATTCTTTCTTCAAACACCCCCACTTTACACTTACTTTCACTCTCTGCAACCCCTTGCTTGCTAGTGGCATTCCCACCTTGCTTGGGGTGAAATGCTTAAAAAAAAAAAAAAAAAAAGAAAGAGAGATTTTGTTATAGACATTAAGAACTTTTTGAGATATTTTGTTGTGGACATGTAACTACATTGGTAAGGGAGGTAACTGAGTATAGAACTGCCCTAAAATTTAATCAAGATTCATGACTAAGAGTTCTAGAAAATTTTACTGAGAACTTTTTTTTTATCATTTCACATCAAACTGATAATACCACTAGGACCCAATGTGTAACTGGGAGTGAAAGAGAACGAGATAATTTTAGTGATGAGAAAGGACAATAAAAGAACAAAATTCAGAAAGACAGAAGATGGCAATTAGCCTTGCATTTACATTTTTGAAGATTGTAGGTGGCAAGGAAGCAAGAAATCAGATATCTTCACTGGCAATAAGTGCATGAAAGAAACTATTGAAATAGAACATACAGTTGCATCTAGCAAGTTGAACAGTAAAATTATGAGACCTAGTTACCAATCTAGTAGTACATTTAAATTCATGTAGTTGAGGAGGAGAGCTCATCAGGACAATTACCATGAAAATCTCTGTAGAAAATCCAGAGGGAATCTATGTGAAGTTGGTAAGAAAGTGAGTAAAGTCGAGATGTCAGGTCAGGATTGATTACAATACAGACTCTTCTTTGACTTTTATCAAGAATCTCTTAATACTTAACTAGATTTATATATATAGTATTGATATTCATTGTTATGTTGCATTTTTATTTCTAAAATGTATAGATGGAGCTCATCATATGGAAAAAGCAGTTCATCTAAGGAAAATGAAACACTGAATATACATCTCTGTTGCCTTCTGACCATATCCATACAGAAAACTCATTGATATAAATCCAGGCAGAAAATTCAGAATTGAGATCCTAAGGTAATTGGCTGTCAGTAATGACCAATTACTGGCATCTCCTGAAATCCAGTTGACCCCCAAACGTAATTCCTTGTATTCTCTTGGATATTATCAGTTTAGTCAAGAGGCACTCATTGTTATGTGATCTGCACAAGGCTTTCATATGCTATTGCCCACAGCTGTACCTTGGAGATGTCTCTCCAGTCTCATCACACGTTGGGAGCATAACATGGAAGATGCGACTTTTAGTGGAATTGATTTTCACTGATCAATGCACTAGCATTATCTTAGAAGATTAACAAATGCCTGCTGTCATGCGTTTCAGCTATTTTGTTGAATATCCCTGTGGTATTCTGAACACTTCCCCATTTCCTCTGTAACATGTTTTCTTCTACTAATTTCCAATGACTTTTTATTAATTACCTCCCTTGGTTGTTACTTTTCTGATACAAGATGTGACCATCTTGTTTGGTCATTAAATTTTTCTAAATGTCTAATGGCTTCCTGTCATTACTTCATGCCCTTCATCAGTTTATATAGACAAAAATTTTCATCTACGTAAACTGATGGGTTCATTTTCGGATGAACACAACTGTGAGTAAAAATGAATGACAAGACAAAACATACTGTGTGCTCATCTGTAGCAGCCCATGACAGAACTGATTCTGATTGCTTGTAGCCACAGGCACTACATTTTATTGAAATGTTATTGGTCTCTATAAATAGTTACAAGGGAATTAACTCCACATTTATTAATACATCACGTCTCCCATCTCAAGATATGAGAATTATAATGTTCAATATTGACAGATAAAAAATATTTATATAGTTTATGTCAATAATATATGACATAGGAAAAATCACTGGGGTATATTATACTCATGTTCTAAGAATTGGAAATTGACTAAATTTCTGTCCTGTATCTGATGGGTTTGTTTATAACACAACCATTTCTTATCATTTTGTTAGCTTCTGAGTGTAACATGATTGAAGGGGTGTGCTGAACACAATTGGTTCTTCATAGTTGAACTCATCAGATATGGGTGCTGATCTTTGATTGTCATTTTCTCTTGATGGACGAATATATTTTGTTTATTTCTTCTATATGTTTATCATGGTGCAACTATATGATCTTGATTTCACATATTTATTAGTGACAATTGCTGGTGCCCAAGTTTTGTGATCTAATTGTACTTGTTTGTGATCATCTGGCTGTTTTCTAGTTGTTGGGGGTGTTAGATATTTAACTGTTCCATACCTCAAGGAGCTCACAAACCAAAAAGATGGAGGCATAAAGTAACAAGAAGAGATGTTGCCAAAGACTTCTCCATATCATCTCTGTTCCTTGTCACTGCTAAACTATCTAAGAGAGTCCAAGATGCAAGGGTGTGAGGATTCATATGACTGTTTGAGACAGGAATTTATGAAATCACAAAATAGATCTTGTAGGGCAGTGTATCCCTACAATACTCCCCCTAAGATACAGTATATCTGAAAATAAGAAAAGAAAAACAATGTGCAGGTTAAAAAGAAACAAAGTTTTGTAGATACTTAGGCAAACATGTCTTTCTAAACATGTGCTTTTTTGAACAGATTATTTATCTGGTATTATGTCTATGTTGGAGAGTGTTACTTCCAAGTATGACTTACCAATATTGCTGGTTTTATCATGTCCAAAGAAATAGTCTGTTCTTGATTCTTGATAAGGACAGTGAAGAACTTGTCATGTGGCTTAATGACTTTGAAAGGGCCACAATATGGTGGTTGAAGAGATTGGGAGCCTGTTGTATTGCAGATAAAAACATGTGAACAGTAATTTAAATGTTTTGACAAGTATACCATATTATTTTTATTTTGCCTTCATGGTGAATATGCCATTTTGGTGGTTTGTCTATCTACAAATGATGTTAAATCCTACCTCTTTTTAGTGGGTCAAAGAAATATTGCCCTGGTAGTCGTAATATAGTTCCATATAAAGCTTCTGCTGCTGAGCAGTTCATTTCTTTCTTTACTGTGATACAAAGCCCTAAATGTATGTGAGGAAGATGCGCTAACTAATTGGTATTAGAAGAAGCCTTCAGACTATGACGCAGTCTCTCTAACATGCCATTTGCTTAAGGATGGTAGGTTGTTAAGTGAATGTTTTTGGTGCCTAGAAGTCTTGAGAGTTTGTGGAATAGTTTGAACTGGAGAAGCTGTAAAAGATGCCCATCCATTTTCTGCTCCCTTGACAATGAGTTAAAAGCAATGGAAGGTTCCAGTATGAAAGAAATGAATTCCATGTGATAAGGTATCTGCGGGGATATTATCTTCAGACTTGATGTCGAACATCAGATGTGAATTGTAGGATGTAATCCATTTAATGAATTTACTGTAGCACCTAATAAAGGTTTGTGGTTCATTAGTACATAGAACTGCTGACCATCCAGGAGTTGCTGAAAGTGATACACTACCAAAACATGGCCAACAATTCCCTGCCAAAGGTACTGTATCATGTTTCTGTCTCTGACCATTTTCTGGAGAAAAAAGAAGTGGGTTTCTATTCCGAGTCGCATTCTTGTTGTAGGACCACTTCAATTTTGATGGATGAAGCATCCAATATCAGACACAATACCTGGATAGATTGGATGTGTGACAATTTTACAGCCTCTACCAAATCGGACTTCACCCTTTTAAATGCTGCCATTGCCTGTTCTGACAATGTTATGTCACATGTTTGTCAATGGCAAAAGTACTTATGCACAGTAGGGAAGAAACCTATTGTAAAAATTAAAAAAAAAAAAAATTAATAAAGGTGCTAAGTGCCTGTCTTTGCTGTGGATAGGTAGTCCACTTGTCTTTATATAATGCGTAATGGAGTGAGGCAAAACTTCCTTATGAATGGAAGAGACAGAAATGGAAGGATACTCCTTCAAAAATTTGAGGAAAGCACCGTCCTGATATGCATGTGCCACAGAAGGACATAATGAAGTGTCAGGCTTCACCACACCACATACCTTAATGTGGGTTACTGGGTCTTTCAA